TTTGCATGTCAAAATTATAAAACTGTCCAATTAAAATATTAAATCCCATAAATGCCCCATCTCGACCCAAATCGTATTCTCTTCCTGTTGGATTACCGTACCGATCGTATTCATTAGCATCAATAATATTACTTTTGCCTGCAACCTCGTTATATTGTTGCAATGGCGGTGAAGTAGTAGATGATGATGTACATTGTTTAACTGTTCTTTTCTTAGATGATGTACGTTGTTTAACTGTTCTTTTCTTCTTTTTGGTGTACTTTTTCCTTACAGCGCTTGATACAATTGTTCTAGTTGTTCTAGTTGTGTTTGATGATGACAGTTGACGCACTAACGTAGCACGAGTAATGGCTACCATTATCTGATTGACAATGAATTAAACAAGTTAAAATGAATTATAAAATGAAGAACCTCAAAACGAGCGTTTTTAAAAAGTCGATATGAGAAAAGTCAGGCACTAGGAGAAATATATATCCCGGAGACTACACCACTTGAGAGTTCTGGATTATATTGATAATTAATCTATTTTTAGAATGAAGTATACAATATCTGCGAAAGAAAGCAACAGTTTATATAGCAAAGATGCAGTGTGACTATCGTGCAATAAGTAATTTCACAACACTAATATAACTATTGTGCAATAAGTAATTTCACAACACTAATATAACTATTGTGCAATAAGTAATGTCACAACAGTGGCGTAACTTTTTCTTTTCCTATAGTTTATTGTTGCCCAAAATATTAAGTTAACTTAGTATAGACACATGTGGAAAAATCAGCTTTCTTTACCGACATATATAGAAAATGACAATATCAAAGATTTTAAAATAAAGAGAACACAAAAATAACTTCATAGTTCGATTTACAATCTGTTAATCTCTGTTTCTTCCTATTACTCGTTAAGATACAAATATCTCTAGACAAAAATCGAAATAGTTCATATTGTCGTTTCAAATAGAGCAATAATCTAGAAAACGAAACATATGTAAATTACTCTTTGAACAGTATTACCTGAATACTCAAATAAAAGAAATTAGGGTGGAAGTAAGTACTTACATATAAAATCTCTCAAATCTTTCTTCAATGTACAGTAATAGTTACCTAGTTTTTCTTGAATATCCAAGAAATTAACCAAATCTAAAACATATGTGCAGCTCTATGCACGATTCTCACTTCGAATTTGCTGTTCTTCCTAAAATCCATACTCTTATAGTACGAAAGTCTACGGTCACATGATGTAACTATAAGATACAATCGAAAAGTTTCATTATAATATAGTGCTTCATTTGTTCTATCAAGATAGTTTTTCATCTTTTTCTAGTATATAAAACTATAATCTATAAATGTTTTTTCTTTCCTTAGAATTAATCCCGTGTGGTTTTTCCACTCCCACAAGAAATATACCACTCGTATTCTTGAATTATATACATGTTCAATATCTTTCCTTTGCTTTTCTGTAAACATAAATCATAATATAAATATCCATATAAAATATGGGAGGACAAAAGAAAGGAATATTAACCTGCGAGTTTTAATATTCCTTCTTCGAATATTACGATAGATTTTTCTGAGTTATACATGTTTGTATGTGCACACCCATTTTTAATTTATATCTTATTACAACCTCTAAATATTTAAACATAGATATAAATTCTAGTTTTTCTTTTTGGAAAAATATATTTTGGTATGCAGGAGCAACGGTATGATGAAATAGCATAACCGTTGTTTTGTTTACATTAACTAGTAATAGAAAATCTTCAGGAAATTTTTCTAGTGCTATATAGCTATTTTAGCTCGTTGTTCTACATATATAATATTTTCTAGTAACCTTGGGTGTGGGTGAAGTGTGAGTATGTGAATTCCGGTTATCTCTTCTTCCACACCCACACCAACACTCGCTCTTTCTGACGTTGTAATTTTTAGTGTGCCTACATGAGATAAAAAATCTTGAAGGGTTAATATGGATTGAATATTTAAATGATTGCATACATAAATAATTCAATAATGGAGTAATTGAATATTTGAATACTTGCATAAGTGATTACTTGAATACTTGAATAAATGAATACATGAATACTTGAATAAATGAATAAATGAATACTTGAATAAGTGAATACTTGAATATAAGTTGCAAGTTTGATACGTATCTGCCGATATATAGACAAACACAACATGTACACATTCTTTCACTTCTTCACATTCTGTTAACAAACACCAACAATGCAACGGCAATTCTTTATGGTTTTTCTCACTGTTGTCCTCATAGGTAGTAGTCTCTGTGTTGGCAAGCCAATCGAAGGTAACGCCTACTCTATTTTTGAGTCAGTCAAACAATTATTTGAAAAATATTATCTATTCGATAGGCATCATCTCATCTCCTCGAATCGGTGGATATCATCCAATCAAGATGGCAAAGGATATTCTCAACAAGCGCTCTCCTGGTGGGTGTCCTTGGTTCTGTAAAGGACGGTATCCAGATTGTTCACCATGTGGAAGTCCTTTTCGATAATGATTAATTGCTTGATCAATTTTGATGATTCGTATTTCAATCGTCTAAAGAAAATAAATTCGATTATACGATTCATCTGCTTGGTATGAAAACGCCAGTAAGAATCGAAATAGGGTGTGGGTATGGGTGTGCGTGTGTGAGTGTGGGAGTGGATGGGTGTGGTGTAGGTGTGCGACTGTCGGTGAAGGGTGTGCGTGTGGGTGTAAGTCTCTCTCTAGCTCTTTTATACCCAGCAACACACCCACACCCACGCCGAGCACAAGATAATGAAGCTTATCATTCTTGGTGCAATCATACATATGATCCATTTGTAGCACTTGACTTTATGATCAATAATCTTATTCATAAAATGTTAACTGTCGATCCAGTTGAACGTGCAAACGCAGATTATAGTATAAAACATCCATGGTTACGAAAACATAATGGCGGTAATATAATACTATTTGTATATATATTTATCTGTATATTATTTTATAAAAATTGCAGAAACAAATCCTCAAATAAGAAAACTAAAACCATATGTAGTTTTTCTTTTCTTCAATTTTAAAAAAGAAATAGTTTTTGACTAAAAGCTAGACCACAATATTCGCCATTAGATTTCTCAAATGAAGTTATAACACCAATAACTGAACAAAAATCAATTAATGAAATGCGTAATGTAAGTAAAATCTTTGTTGACGTTTCTCTTATCATTTATTTTTTTATGTTTCTAGAATGAACCAGCAGAATCTGCACAGTTTATAAGAGAAAGAATTTGCAATAATATCATCTGGTTTAACAAAACATTTATCACTTATTCGTTCAACATCATATGAAGATGTTAAAAGAAAAAAAAATTGTAAAAAAAAATCAATATAAATTTGGGTGTGGGTGTGGGTCGTGCTCTGAATTCAGTCCACACCCACACTCTCCCCAATCATACGAGTCTCGATCATGTTCTTTAGTGATAGTTGAGATTTTAACGTTATGCTGATCGTTTACGACTTCGTCATGATCATGCTTATCATTATCAAATAATAACATTATTAGGTATTCTTGATATGCCTTGACTTGACATTTGCATTATTAAAAACGAAGATATGCATATTGATCGTTTTATCAATGATGGTAATATTTGATCAACTATTAAGGATAAGCTGACAACACTCTATTTCAAGTTCTTTTTGCCTGAAATCATTAAAAATAATTAATTATTTTCCTTTCAGTGTATTGATCTTTTTATGACAAAAACATTTGTTTCAATAAATTTCTGTTGATGAATTACATTTGCTTTTGATATTATATAACTGCCTCATCTTCTCCATATTCATTATTTTTTTAGAAGCAGAAAATAGAACAAGATCAAAAAGAATAAAAACATCAAGGGAGAGGAGAAGAAAGAACGTGATAATTGAGCGTCTCCTTTCTTAGAGAAGTTAGAGAGAAGGATAGCAAGAGAAAGATAAAAGCAAAGACACAGCTCTTAGCAGCAGATGACACGATATATGGCCATTTTTATACATGTTCGTGGCCAACAAGCGAATATTGAATAAGGTTCATTAAACATTTGAGATTTAGTCCGACAATTAATGAACCTAGTGGAAAATTACAATGCTCAAGTTGTTTTCATGTCTTCATATACACATATTTCGAAAAATCATCAGCAACATTGTTCGAATGTACGCTTAGTAATACAATCATCTGGAATGTTGGTAAGAAAACTTCAATCTTGTATAGGTGTGAACAGCGGCTCATTAACTTTGTTCTCGACTTAGACATATTTTGTTACTCTTATATTTGACATATATTTATGATTAGCAAATGAAGAAAATATATTGAACGAATCTCCTTCCTAATTTAATCGTATTCGAAAATCAGTAAAAAAAGTCCAGACAAAAGCACATAAAGCAAGGATAATAATCGCGGCATAGGAACATTCTTTATGCCATGATGAAACATGTTCATCACGAATTGAAGTAATACTTCGTCGATTATTGATATTACCATGTGAATGACTATCCGAACAGATTGATTGACCATCGAGTTCATCGGTTTTTTCCAAACCACAAATCCAAGCAAAGGCAGTTTTTAAATAAAAAGCAATTCCCGTAGAATCACCTGAAAGAAAAGATTTCCTTGATTTGAAAGAAAAAGATTTGATAACAATACCTGTTTGGAAAAAATGTAAAGCCTTTCTTTCAGTTTCAGTAGAAGGTTGGTCGATATGATATGACGATGAATTCTCGAAGTGATAAGGTTGTTCTTCATCATAATATGTATTTGCTTTATGCATACACCCAGGTCGAGTAGGAATTTCAATTGCTTTTTCCGGATTATCAAGATCAGAAATGGTTAAACCAGATATCTAGGCATTATATTTGCATTCTATCGAAAAAATGAATTGTAACTTACATATTTTTCTGGAATAGGTTTTGTCAGAAGACTGATAACGATGGTCACAATACCAGAGATTATGAAAAGAAGAACTGAAAAATAAAGAAAATTAAATCGAACTACTGATGGACGTTTATCCAGATGTTCGAGTTGACAAGGCATTGCAGTATAAGAATATTCCCAAATGAATCGAACTATTCCAATAAATAAACCAGATATCAAGCCCCAAAATGCTCCCTAAAATCGAAATTATTACAAAATTGCTACTCTGAATAAATTACTTCTTCATTGATTCGTTTCCATAAAACCCCGAGTAAATAACAAGCAGCAACTGGAGGTGCTAAAAATGATTGAACAGCTTGAATATAATCGAATAATCTTGCACCTTGTGCTGCTCGAATAATTGGAATCCAAAGAATCGATATCCCCACAAGAATCATGACGAAAACTCTTCAGTACAACTTCATGTCATTATTTTCCAAAAAAAAAAACAAATCTTCCCTTCATTTACCTGCCAACAATCATCAATTCCCAATCGTGTGCATTTCGACGAAAACGTTGCCAGATATCAATTGTGAAAATAGTCGAACTCGAATTAAAGATCGAGGTTAGGGAGGACATTAAAGCTGCAATCATACAAGCTAGTGTTAAGCCACGAATTGCTAAGAAAAGGAAAAGATTTATTTTCTTTGAAAAGATAAATCAAAAATTCACCATTGGGCATCAATCGAAGCACAAGAAGTGGATATGCAATATCATTGCAACCATTTCGACTATGACAAACCTGATAGCATACATCGGGATCAGAACAACCGATTTCATCTATATTAAAGTTAGTTTTTAGATGTAATTAAAGAAATATTCATACCTGGAAAAAGAATTCTTGCAATCATTCCTATTAAAACCATGAACAAACTTCAATAACTGTCAAAAGATGAATCACTCACCAGGAAATACCATCAGAAATAAAGGTAAAAATTTCAATATCCCTGCAACAAGACATCCTGCTCTTGCGTGTGAAAGATTTTTTGCTGCCAATGTTCGTTGTACAATCACCTAGATTAGAATTCAAACAAATATTCCTTTATTATTCTTTCTTTCGATTTACTTGATCGCAACTCCAATACCAAATAGACGCAACTCCGTTTCCAAAAAGTATCCCAAACCATGGTAAATCAGCATCAAATGGACGAATTAATGAGAAATAATTTTCATTCGGTACACCACATTCAGTGATATTATGTAATGTTGTATACGCAAGTGCATACGGAAACAGATTTCGAATTTGTTGTATACCACCAACTCTGACAAAACCTATTTTCAATATTTAAATTCACTATTTTCATTCATAGAAATGACATACTGATAATCATTAGAATAAAAGCTGATACAACCATAATCACTGTTTGTATAAAATCGGTCCAAATGACTGCTGTTAAACCACCTAGATCAAAACTTTTATTATAACAAGAAAACATATTTTCTTTTTCTATTTACCACCAACAGTGAAGAATGCAGCAAGAAGAATCAGAGCAATAACTGAGGCATACAGATTCCAATTTAAAGCTTGTTGAAGGAAAATAGCACCGGAATAGAGATCAACAGATATTTTTGTAAAGATTGATAACATTAATGCAAGACATGTTAAATAAACTCGAATACGTTCACCACCATAACGCATTTTTATATATTGTGGCATCGTGAATACCTCTGCTTTCATATATATCGGAACGAATAACCAACCGAGTACCATCAGCCAATGAATTGCCTGTTATATAGAAGATATTCTTGATGAAAAAATATTCTTTTTGCGTACGCTTATTTCAAAACCGGCAACAGCAATGCCGCTTGAGGCACCAGATCCGGTAAGACCGATGAAATGACCACTGCCAATATTCGATGCAAATAAGGACGCGCCCACCTAGAAGATTGAATGAAATCGAGAAGAATTGTTTGAAGATTTTTTACCGGTATAAAATGCATTGAACGACCAGCAAGAAAATATCCACCTCAATAGAAAAATATCAAATCCTTGGTGAATAAAAAAAGAATATATCTTTTCT